CCAGCTTTTTTTTTTTTTGTATTTTTAGTAGAGTCAAGGTTTCACCATATTGGGCAGGATGGTCTCGATCTCTTGACCTCATGATTCGCCTGCCTCAGCCTCCCAAAGTGCTGGGATTATAGGTGTGTGCCTGGCCTCTAATTCCCTTTTGTAAGTGCCAGCAATTGTATTATTATTCACCGCACATTTGCAACATCTGGAACACTGGAATATATAGTTGCACATTAAATATCAATTTAATAGAACCATTCATTAATGGATTCATTCATTCATTCATTAAATAACCATATTTAACTGCCTGCTACGTGTGGGGGAGGTGCAGAACTCTCCCTAAACCTCTCTCCAAAGGCAAGCGCTCCAACACATCCCAACCCCGACCCCGTCCGATTCACACTTGGCTCCCATTTTCGTGTGTGTGTGTGTGTGTGTGTGTGTGTGTGTGTGTTTTGAGATGGAGTCTCTCACTGTTGCCGGGGCTGGAGTGCAATGGCTTGATCTCGGCTTACTGCAACCTCTGCCCCCTGCCCCAGGTTCAAGCGATTCTCCTGCTTCAGCCTCCCGAGTAGCTGGGATTACAGGTGCCTGCCACTACGCCCAGCTAATTTGTTGTATCTTTAGTAGAGACGGGGCTTCACTATGTTGGCCAAGCTGGTCTCAAACTCCTGACTTCGTGATCCGCCCGCCTCGGCTTCCCAAAGTGCTGGGATTACAGGCGTGAGACACCGCGCCCGGCCTTCCTTCGTGGTCTTAGGGTAAGGCTGGCATGAGATTGGAGAACGGAGGACAATGTCACATAGCAAGTTCCTAGAGGGCAGCAGGTACCCAGCAAGCAGTATGAAAGAGGCACATAATGGGTATCTAGGACACAGTAGGCATTTTGGCACATAGTAAGGCCTCAGCACTCACTGGACAACTGGCACATAAGGGGTGCCATGCACAAGACGTTGGCTCAACTTGGGAAGGAACTAAAATTCCTGCAATAAGTTCGCCCCCTGCTGGAACGTATCTTGCAAACCCAATTCTTCCATAAAGCAAACTACCCTGTCCCGCCGGCCGGCGCAGGCGCACTCACGATTGCGGGGAGGTCCGCCGAGCGCAGCACCCCCTTGCGGAGCTCCAGAGCGCGTGCGGCCTCTTCTGGGCATGCGCAGAGCGGCTCTATGTCCAGCCGAGGGAGTTCGCTGTAGCCCTCGCGCGCATGCTCGTACAAGAGGTTCCTGTTTCGTTTCTCTGTAGCGAAACTTTTCCTTGGACTGTAGTTGGAGATGCAGCCTTCCCGGGGCCGGAGCCCCCGACGAGTCAACAAAGGCCACAAGCGCCGAGACATGGACGCAGCCATCTTGGACCAGGAACAGGGCGGCACTTCGTCCCGCCTACTTCGCGTTTAGACCAATTGTAAAGCAGCACTCCTGACCGGGACGAGCCAATCATATCCTGAGGAAAGTTGACGGCGATAGAGTCCGTCGTCGCTCAATCGCCGTCTGTGTCCCGCCTCTTCGGTGACGCGAAGGCGGAACCAGCCAATCCCTGCACGGATAGCGCCCGGAAGAGGCTAGAGGCAGGTTTCAGCGTGTCCGCGACCTCACCGCTGGAGCCCTTGAGGTCGGTGGAATCATGGGGTCCTCCAAATCTACCAGACTCTCTCCCCAGTTTCCCACTTCCTCTTATGTGCGGGCGAGAGTGGCTGGGTCCTCGGAGACCACTCAGAGCGAGGCTAAATTTACGGAGGGACTTTCTGTTAGCAGCATGAGGGTTGTAGTTATCGCTAAAGAGGGACTTCTTTGATTTAACCCAGAAGGTCCTGAGAGCGGATCGGGGACCATTTGGGGAGCGGCCACTTTTCCCTCCTTTCTGAGTCTCTTATCTCCTCCCACAGGGACGGCCCAGGCGGCAGGATGTCCTGGTCTGGCCTTCTCCGTGGCCTCAACACGTCCCTAGCTTGTGGTAAGTGGGGGACTCGGGCTTCAGGGACGAGGCTAGGGAATGAGGGTTATTCACTCTGGGTTATTGTGTGCCTCCGCCAGAGTCCCGAGGGAACCCAGGGATGGAAAAACACGGTGGGGTTTGGCGGAACAAGGGCTGCTAGAGCAAGAGGTTGGGAGCAGCTGCATGGAGGGCTACTGCGTGTCAAGCGGGGTTTGCGTCAATTTTATTATCTAAGCTCTCCCTCTGTCGCCCAGGCTGGAGTGCAGCGGTGTGATCACAGCTCACTGCAATCTCGACCTCCTGGCCTCAAGTGATCTTCCTGTCTCAGCCTCCCAAGTAGCTGGAACCACAGGCCTGCAGAACCACAACCAGCTAATTTTTTGATTTTCTTTTTTTTTTTTTTTTCGGTAGAGACGGAGGTCTCCCTATGTTTTCCAGTCTGTTCTTAACTCCTGAGCTCAAGTGATCCCTCCACAGCCTCTCAAAGCGCTAGGATTACATGTGTGACCCACCGGGCCTATTATTATTTTAAACAGCATTAAAAGTAATGCTTCCTGGCCGGGCACGGTGGCTCAAACCTGTAATCCCAGTACGTTGAGAGGCTGAGGTGGATGGATCACCTGAGGTCAGGAGTTTGAGACCAGCCCGACTAACACCGTGAAACCCGTCTCTACTAAAATTACAAACATTAGTCGAGTGTGGTGGCAGGCACCTGTAGTCCCAGCTACTCCGGAGGCATAGACAAGAGAATTGCTTGAACCCAGGAGGCAGAGGTTGCAGTGAACCGAGATCACGCCATTTCACTCCAGCCTGGGTAACAGAGCTAGACTGTCTCAAAAAGGTTCCTTGAAGAATAAAATGAGTTAATTCACGCAAAATGCCTAAAAGAGAAGCTGACGTGTGGTGGTTGCTCCGTAAATGTTAGCTAGTATTACTTTGATCTGTAAATACCGCTAGACATGAATAAATGCATCCTTGTAAAGTGCATGAAACAATGCCTAGAACACCAAAATTGAGTTGCCACTACACTAAGATCTGTTCTCTGGGATGATAACCCCTTTCGGCCCTCTCCAGGCCTAGCCCTGGTTCCCCGGCTCTGGGCCACCTGCTCCATGGCTACCCTGAACCAGATGCACCGCCTGGGGCCTCCCAAGCGGCCGCCTCGGAAGCTGGGCCCCACGGAAGGCCGGCCGCAGCTGAAGGGTGTGGTCCTGCGCACGTTCACCCGCAAGCCCAAGAAGCCCAACTCTGCCAATCGCAAGTGCTGCCGCGTGCGGCTCAGCACGGGCCGCGAGGCCGTCTGCTTCATCCCCGGGGAGGGCCACACCCTGCAGGAGCACCACATTGTCCTCGTGCAGGGCGGCCGCACGCAGGACCTGCCAGGCGTCAAGCTCACCGTTGTGCGTGGCAAGTATGACTGTGGCCACGTGCAGAAGAAGAAGTGACCGCTGGGGGCCCAATGGGCTGGGCACCCTGCAGAACATGATTCTTCCGCTCCGGGCTGCAGCAGGGTCCCCAGATGCTGGCTCTTGCGCTTCTGGAGGCAGCCAATCTTGGATTCAAAGCCTGGCTCTGCCTCTTCCATCAGGACCACTATTAAACCATAGGAGTTCTGGGGGTGCAAAGGGTGCCACTGTGTGCACACCCTTGGCTCCTGTGTTCAGAGGGGTGGCCTGAGGGGCCTTTTCTGCGGGGACAGACATTGTACTGCCCTCTGCTGGGAAGGGGTTTTAATAAACAGATCCTGGCGCTCCTGAAGTGAATCCCTTGTGGAATATCTGCCTTCCGTGTGACTGTGGCAAGGGACATGTCTGACATTAAGTTTCTTCCTCCAGAAAATAGCTCCTTTGGTGGTACCTCCTCTGTTTGGTTTGGTAAAGATTAAATTCGGTGCTCTAGTGCATAATACACAGAGCTACTCTTTTTTTCATTTTTTTAGACAAAGTCTCGCTCTTTCTCTAAAAAAAAAAAAAAAGCTCCAGCCTTGACCTCCTGGGCTCAATCGATCCTCCCGCCTCAGCCTCCTGAGTATCTGGGACCACAGGTGTGTGCCACCACACCTGGCTTATTTTTCCATTTCTTTAAAGTGGGAATCTGGTTTTGTCGTTCAGGCTGGTCTTGAACTCTTGGCCTCCAGAGATCCTTCCACCTTGGCCTCCCAAAATGCTGGATTACACACGTGAGCCACCATGGCCAGCCAGTGGAATTGTTTTTATATTATTATCAGTCTGACATACCTGGGCTCAAATCCTGGCTCCCTGTCATAATTGCTATGAGACCTGGCTATGTTAGTCCCTCCTGTGGGCCTCAGTTTCCTCCCTTGGAAAATGGCACTGATGGTAATACTGACTGTACATGATCACATGCTTGGCCATATAAGATTTCAGATGTGGGGGCGGGGTACAGTGGCTCACCTGTAATCCCAACAGTTCGGAAGGCCAATCACCTGAGGTCAGGAGTTTGAGACCAGCCTGGCCAACATGGCAAAACCCCATCTCTACTAAAAATACAATAATTACCCAGGTGTGGTGACATGTGCCTGTAATCCCAGCTACTCCAGAGGCTGAGGCAGGAGAATCGCTTGAACCTGGGAGATGGAGGTTGCAGTGAGCCGAGATCTGCATTAATGCACTGCAGCCTGGGCGACAAGGAGACTGTATCTCAAAAAAGAAAAAGAGATGTGGAAACTGTTTGTACCATTGGACTCTGGGGCCCAGTGCTGATCCAAGCCCTGCCTCCCCTCCTTACTGGTTGGGTAACCTTGGGCAGGCCATTTACACTCTGAGCCTGGACCAAATGGTGCTGATTAGGGTGCATGCCTGAGAGCTGTTCGGTGCATCATAGCTGTCTCCGCGTTCTGCACGGCGCCCGGCACACAGCCTCCGGAGGGTCTCCTGATTGTAAACATGAGGCCGCAAAGTCTTTTAGGATCAGAACTGGTGGCGGACAAGTGCATTGATTACAGATCAAACTCGCCCGTCCCCTTGTATTCAGCACCAGGTTTATTGAGCTAGTTTGTTGGCTATGCCTAGCTGGGAAATAGAGAAGTAACGGGAGAGCTTTTCCTCATGGCACACCTTGCTCCAGGAGTCTATACAGGGGTGTGGAGAAAAGGAAGTGTTACCTGGCAGGAGGCTGCCCCTCAAAGCAAGGGCAGGAGGTGGGGGTGGGTGACTTGGCCGCTGATGGAATTCTGGAATTCCGATGAGAGAGGGCCTGGCCCAAACAGGAGATGCTGATGGGCAGTGCTGGCCACGCTGCACAGAGATGGTCAGTCACACAGCCCCGTGGGGGAATCCCAGAGACCACCCCAAACAGCAGATGACCCTGTTGGTCTCAAGGACAGACTGCCCCTGCTGACCTCTGCTCCCGGCCAGTGATCGTTACCCCAAAAACATGCTGGTAGGTCTCTGCTCCCTGCATCAGCAGCTTTCCCCCTCTTTTACAAATCCTGGTTTAGCCTCTGTTTTATGACTGAGTCTACCAAGATCCTTGCAGGAGACAATTTGCGGGCAAACGAACTAAATGTCTCTTTCCTGACACCTCCGTCCTGGGAAGCTGAGGAAGTTGTGAGCAGCCTGGTTTGTCACATAGCATGACGGCTACCACGCTGAAGTAGCAGGAAGCCGGTTCATGGAAGGTGTGCTGAGAATCAGCTACATGCGACCCCTACTGTCTCTGGGTATCCTCTGGCTTCTGGCCACAAGGCTGGTCTTTTTTTTTTTTTTTTTTTTTTAATATAGGGTCTTACTCTCTTGCCCAGGCTGGAGTACAGTGGTGAAATCACAGCTCACCGCAGCCTTGATCTCCTGGACTCAGGCAATCCACCCACCCAAGCCTCCCAAGTAGCTGGGATGACAGGTGACACCACCATGCCTGGCTGATTTTTTAAAAATTATTTGTGGAGACAGGGTCTCACTATGTTGCCCGGGCTGGTCTTGAACTCCTGGGCTCCAGTGATCCTCCCACCTCGGCCTCCTGAACTGCTGGAATTCCACAGGCGTGAGTCACCGCACCCAGCTGCAAGACTGGTCTTGACTGATGACGTCCAGCAGACAGTAGTCCAGTCACTAGGACAGACGGATCCTCACCCTCACACTGGAGTGGGTCACAAGAGCACCATAGTGCCCCACCCAGGAACGCGTGTCTCTCCCGTACTGCTCAAAAGATACGTATCGGATGCCCTTGCCAAAGTTGGTGAAGACGTGGGAGACCTGCAGGGGGAAGGGGAGTGAGAGGGTGAGGGCCTGTGGCCCCCTTCTCTTCCTCCACCTCAACAGAGAGGCAAAGGCCCTGAGATGGGGCCATGCCTGGAGCTGTGTGAGGGGAGGAGCAGGAGAAGGGTCAGGGAAGTGACGGGCAGATCACGGCCTTGTGGGCCACAGGACGACTTTGGCTTTTTCTTTTTTCTTTTCTTTTCTTTTTTTTTTTTTTTGCAGTTTATTAAAAAAGTCGAGATAAAATTTTCATAAAACAAAGTTCACCATTTTATATATTTATTTATTTTTTGAGACAGAGTCTCGCTCTGTCGCCCAGGCTGGCGTGCAGTGCCGTGATCTCGGCTCACTGCAA